GGTAAATAAAATGGCTCAAAGGCTTATCAAGCTCAGTCAGTTATGAGCTAATCTATTACCAATAGGAAATATAATAAAAGTAACACAGCACAATAATTGTTAATTGCTTTAGATATCTAAATTATTTCTGCTTAAAGTATAGACTTATTCTTAATTTATGGAATTAAAGTTCTCACCTGAAATCCTTGTTCATGCATTCATTCCTGCCATTCTTTTTGTCTCTATATATTTTGTATATGCTTTTATATAAACACAGATACTATAGAATTTTTTCAGTTATGAGCTAATCTATTACCAATAGGAAATATAATAAAAGTAACACAGCACAATAATTGTTAATTGCTTTAGATGAATAATCGTGAAAGTACCGTATCATCAGATTTTGAGACAAATCTTAACAGCTAGGTAAGAAGTGAAGACGGGGTGCATCACCCTTGTGAAGGGTGTAGCCAGATTATTAGATGGTTGTTACAACGGTTCTCAACCTGTGGGTCGCGAACAATGAAAATACATCCTGCATATCAGATATTTACAATTCTTAACAGTAGCAAAATTACAGTTATGAAGTAGCAACGAAAATAATTTTATGGTTGGGGGTCACCACAACATGAGGAACTGTACTAAAGGGCCACGGCATTAGGAAGGTTGAGAACCACTGAATAGTAGGTAAACAAAAGGGATGTGTTCTTTCTCAGTGCTCATGTTTCTGTTGATGTTATTTACCTGTTGATTCAAGCTTAAGTCAGCTACACATAGATAGATTAATATGCTACATTTACAGAATCAGAAATTGGTCCTGGGTGGTTTGGCTCAGTTGGTTGGGCATCTTGTGCACCAAATGGTTGCCAGTTTGATTCCAGGTCAGGGCACATGCCCCGGTTTTGGGCTAGATCCCCAGTAGAGGGCATGCTGGAGATAGCAGATAGATGTTTCTCTCTTTCTCCCTTTCTCTCTCAGAAAGAAAATCAATAAAAAGAAATCAGAAACTGCTCAAAGATCTTTTGGAATTTGTCTACAGCTGAGCACAGTACCCGCTCTTGGAGCTCTCACATCACTTCTTCCCCCAACTTTCCCTTCCCTCAGTTGGTTTGGCTGTGACTGGGTCCTGGGGAGGACATTTTCTGCTTTTCTTTTGGAGAACTGAGATATCTAATTAATCTGGTAGAAGCCCCTCATGTACCCACTAATAAGTCATGGAAAGGAAGGGAGGAAATACTTAGAAAATGATAATATCTTGTATGGGAAAAGTTTCTAAGGTTCCAATATTAATTTAGAATAGTGTTAACAGTTCTTAGCAGAAAGTTCTCAGAATTAAGAAAACACAGAAGGTCTGGTTAGTTGGTCTGGATAGACAGTCATGCTAATTGGGGCTCAGATGAGGGTTTCCTGGTCTGAAGTGGCATTTTCTCTGGTTTCGCTGCAGAGTTGGAAGGGGCCCTGAGCTAGAGTGGGAACAACACGAGCCCTGGGTTCTGGTTCTGAAGGCCACTCACCGCGGGCAACCCATTTGATTTTTCTGAGCCTCGGCTTTTATTATCTGTAAGTTAGAGAAGAAAATAGCACTTGCCTCACACGTTGTTGTAAAAATTCAGTGAGTTAATAGGTATAAAGGATTTTGCACAGTGTGGGCACCATACCAAGCAATTAATAAATAAAAGTAATAAGCAATTAATTAATAAATGTAAACTATCATCATCATCATCATCACCACCATCATTAACTGCATTTTTGTACCTTGTTTGTACACGCCAAGAGGACTGTAGACTCTTGCCTTCAGAATCACGTGGATAGTTTGTGTGTTGGCACAGCTGCTCTAAACCCAGCACCCAGCAGACTCAGGTTAATACTTTCTAGTTGCCACATCTTTCAATCGAGACCCGATGTATTTATTTTGGATGAAATGCAATCTGATCTATTTCAAGAGTTTGATAGTAGATGGTTATTTCATTGAACAGAAGGTTTCAAATGACATTTTGAAATTCTGGGATAAGTTATCAAAATTTTAAAAAATGTTCTTTAAGAATCAAAGTCCTATTTGCTACCTACCATGTAATGGAGCTGGATTTATTTTGTGAGGACGTTCAAATCTGCTGGTGTTGGCTGAGAGTCATGCAGGCACGTCCTCCTGAAATGATCTTCTATGGAGAGAACTGGCAGTATTGAGGTAACTTTTATCAAAATTAGAAAACGTTTGCACGTTCTTGTTATAACATACACATGAAATAATTTATCATATGTAAAATGCGGGAAATGTCATTTTTAATGAATTAAGGTGGTTGATGTGTTTAAAAAGCAAAGGAGGTGTGACTGTTCACTCAATGGAAACCAAGCCTTCATCTCGTGGTCAATCATCGGGAAAAGCAATTTCTGGCTTTTACTTGACTTTCTTTTTCCAATAACTTGGATTACAATTAAATGCATTGATAATAATGACATAATGTTTGCAATAGACTTTTACTTTCAGTAAACAAGGTAAATGCTTTCTAGCAAGTAAACAGCATCCTATAATTCAGGACATGCTACACTTTGGCTGCTAAGACTTGGTCTTTTTTTGTGTGTAGAATGATTTAAAAGAACAACACAACTATCTCTGTCCTGATAAGAACTCTGGGGACAGGGAGTGTACTTAAGTAGAGGCCAATCAGGGCACATTGGACTTGTTAATGAAGTATGCACTTCACTCCCATTTCTCCGCGTTCTAGGCTAAGTTAAGCCACTGGCTTGATTTCTTTTTTTCAAGAGAAAAATACCCATTTGCAAAACAGGAGAGCCTCCTGGCTTGAGAGAGAAGAGGAGGCCTCACTTGCTCACTTGAGGGAGCGGGTCACCGGACCTTGGTATTTCTCCCGGGGGCCGGCCCAGGCTCATGCAGGAGGGTGAGCTTTCGGGTTCTCAGTTAGCCTCGGCTCAGGCTGCCAAGCACCTGGCCATCTGAGGACGGTCCTCGCAGGGTGACCATTCTCCCCCTGCCTCCAGGGAAGAGGGGAGTGAGTCCAACAGGGAGAAGGAGGCTGTGCCCTCTAAAGCCAGAAGAGGAAGTCCCGTCAAGTGTGAATGCACATCCCCCACCCTGAGCCTGCACGTGCACTCGTGGTGAACTATTAGGTCATATTCGGGGCACGTGGCATCTCCTGATAGAGCAACAGGAATTGTTCCAGAGAAAAAACACCCATGTCCTGGGACTGTAGGCAGATGGTTGTGTCTGTGTGTCATGCATCATCAAATTGAGGGTGATCTTGCTCCTTTGTAAGTATGCAATCATCTTCACAGTGGATTGTGAAATGCTCACTTCGTTCATTATGGTGAGTAAGACGAGTGGGTGGCCCGAGCTGTGGGCTTCATGGACTCACTCACCTAACGAGAGATGTACGGGAAGCCCAACAAGCCAAAAATAGGAACTTGCACTAAGACAAGACTCAGCATCAGTGACAGTAAGTAGACACAACATAGAAACCAGAGAAAAGCTATTGTCCAGCAGTTTTAACCACCAATACCCATTTATTTCAATGGAGAAAAAAAAATCTCTGCATTCTATATGCTCCAAAAGATTTACTGTTGAAACAAATACAATATATGGAACTCTATCTGTATAATTTTACTACAATAAAGACAACATATGACGTCTACTTCCTACAGAAGGCGAACGGAAAAGCACAGATGCCAACAGAGACTGCATAAGAAAGCGTGTGTGCGTGTGTGGTTAAAACCTTTAGTAAGCAACTGCATTAAAATGTGCTAAGACACTTACCCTAGTTTGTGGCGAGCTCTAGTAAAAAGCCACGGCTGTCACTAGTTTTATCTGTTATAAAAATTTGGTGTGAGCTTGGATGGTTCATTTACAGTTTATCGACAAGAAGATAATCTTAGTACAAGCACTAACTTTCCTCTTACGTTGACATGCTCACAGAATCAAAATCAATTACTTTTCAAACATAACGAACGTCTTTTATTTGTAGGTTTGCAAACAACTGTAGTCGATTCACACAAAAGGGTACTTTTAAAACTACCTGTATTTACTCTATTTTATGCAGGTATATGAAACAAATGGCATGTATGCGCGTAAGTGTATGTCTATACATGTGGGCATATACTAGTATATGTATACACGCGGTATCTGTCAGCCTCTTCATATGCACGTGTGACCTCCAGGATGACACTTACAATTGCAAATGTACCGAGGAAGGAGGGGTTCTCTGCCATGATCCGTGTCCCCATAAGAACTAAGTCCAGAGGGGGACTGTGGATTTAGGACACATACAAATGCAGACAGGTGCCCAGGGACAAATATTTCAGCCCTTTGCTCGGCATTTGATGGTAACATTTCCTGCTCTGCTCCCCACCACTTTTGCTCAGGATCACGGCATATGATGGCAGTGAAAACTGGGTGTAGCCCTCAGGTGAAGAGAAAGGCCTCTCTCTCTCTCTCTCTCTCTCTCTCTCTCTCTCTCTCTCTGCAGACCTGTCTCTCTCCAGACCTGCCTGCTGGTCGTGGCAGCATTCAGACCGAATGGGATGGTGGGGAAGCATAATGCCCAGCTTGCTGCTGAGGTCCTGGTGGTGGTGGTGGTGGTGGGGTCAGCTGCTGGCCTCCATCCCTTTTTGTTTAGCCTCTCAAGGGAGAATGACACATCAAAACTGGGCTGTCCTATCTCATCTCGCTCTATAAATACTGATATGTACACGTACAGATACTCATACATATACAGATACTAACCCACAGACACAGCTGGAGGTGTGGACTGCTGACTAGCAATGTGGCAACACATCAGAAAAAGTAGTCATTGTTCCTGCTCCCGGAGGGCACGTGATATGCCATGATCTTTAAACACTCAGGGGGAATTCAGAGAATCCCATTAATCAAAGGAGAAAGGAAGATGCTGTCAAAATGGTGAAGTACAGACTAAATGAAATGGCAAAGAAAAGGAAAATCTGGAGCAATTGAGGCCTAGTTGTGAAGTTCGAAAGCTGTAAACGGCAATCTTCCGATTTGGATTTTTTTTCCTGTTGCTATGGAAACTTGGTAGTCAAGCGTCAGATGTCAGGAGTTCTCACAGACCTGAATGGCAAAGATTCAGAGTTTAAGTCAAGGAATATTGCAACTCGGTTCAAAACATGTTAGCTGAATGCTAGATACATGACTGACAGGCTGTAATAAACGCATTTATAAACATTGCACTACCTTGGAAAATTTTTTTTCTTAAGCATAGCATTTGAAGAGAGAAGGAACAGTTCTGCTGGTTTATGTCTTAAAAAGCCGGACTTCTCCGAAAGTGCTTGATGCCAAACATCTCACTTCAGACCACCAGCAGCTATTAGAACCTCTGCTACCATCGAGCCCTATCTCTTACAATCAGCCCAGAGCTTGGCTATTTTATTAACAAGGTGACTTGGTAGATTAGAGATTGATGATTGTCCTAGTCCTAGATATTCTTTTTGGTCATGGACAAGAGATAGATACCTATTGGTATATGAGTTTCCTGTGGCTGCTGCAACAAATGATGTCCAAAAAGGGTCTTATGGGGCTAAAATCAAGGTGTGGGCAGGGCTGTGTTCCTTCCGAAGGCCCAGGGGAGAACCACTCCCTTTACTTTTCCAGTTTCCAGACGCTGCCTGTGTTTGGTTCACGGCCACTTCAGCCACCTTCATCCCTGAACTGTCTTATCAAAGTTCACTGAACTTGCCAAAGGTGTGGTTATTCTCGAGGTTGCACACTAGCCCAGGGCCTTTCATTCTGCCTGATAATAGCATGAGTGGAAATAGCTTGCTCTCTGACATTTTTGCTTAATTATTATTATGTCTTGAATTTGTATCGGGAATTGGTACCACCAAATCTTTTGTTAACATCAAAGAGATAAAGTGTGGAAAGGTCAAGCTAGGCGGTAACATAAGTGCAGCTCATTCTGGAACAAACTGATCATTAGGACTCTAATGGGTTACTCTGTAGGGCTTGGGCTTTTTCATTCAAAACTCACCCATCTACTCTGAACCCATTGGTTTTAGAGGTTGAACATGTCATTTATCTGTTTGGAAAATTTCAAGCAGCCTATCTGAATTCTAGATAAACAGTCTTTGTAATGAGACTCGAGTACAAACAAGGTGATTTAAGAACGTTATGGGTTAAAGCTGTTCTAACAGAAAGGACCATGGAAATTAACAAGTTATTTCAGGTGTAATTTTTGGTTATGTGCTATACCAGGGACCTTTACATTGCTTGACAAGTGAATTTCTTTGCAGTTAAGAGTCTCCTGAACTCATTTAGTTCCTTTATTTCACTCAAAGTTTTCATTGCCTTAAACTCTTTGGTTACTTGGCTGCAGTAAATTGTACCCTGCAGATTCACCCGCATTTGAACGACGTGAAAAGAACATATTAAATGGCATCACTAATTTTATTTAAAAATACTTTCCAGTGTGGTTCCAAGAAGTTAAAATAATAACTTTATTCACTGAGAAAAACAGAAAAAAAATTGGTTAGTAACACCCACTGAATTAGAAAGTGGCCAATCCATTTTAAGTCAATTTAGACTATTAGGTTGATTGGATGAGATCACCTATATAATTTATGTAAAGTTCTTAGCTTTGCACACACAAAGCCCATGAAGTTGTACCACTTTAAGGGACCACAGCTTCTCACAAAGCATGACTCGGGGCCTCTCCAGGCCAGGATGGCCTGCTCTGCCGGGTCTGATGCTTCTCCAGACCCCGTCTCTGCTCATAGCACATTCACAATAAAGAAGAACAAAATAGTGATACTCTCAACAACATGGATTGTGTGATTCCATTTATAAAAAACTATAGAAAAGATGAGACTATAATTAGAGAAGGCAGATCAGTGAGGGTCTGGACTAGGGGAGGGGATTGATAGCAAAGGGGTACAGGAAACTTTTTTGACTGTGGTGTGTACAATTGCGTAGTTACTAAAATTCATCAAACTGTACACTTAACAGGGTGAATAATTAGAGCCCGGCTGGTGTGGTTCAGTGGTTGAGCATCAACCCATGAACCAGGAGGTCACGGTTCAATTCCCAGTCAGGGCACATGCCCGGGTTGCGGGCTCGATCCCCAGAAGGGGCATGCAGGAGGCAGCCGATCAATGATTCTCTCTAATCACTGATGTATCTATCTCACCCTCTCCCTTCCTCTCTGAAATCAATAAAAATATATTTTAAAAAATGAAAATAAAAAGCATTAGAATTAAAAGTATAGATTTATTTATTTTTGGCTTAGATTAAGGTTATAATTCAGTGCCTCATCCTTCCCAGGTACAGACATTTAATTTGGTCCTTGTTAATACGGTTCATCTCATCTGTCCTTTTATATGCTCACTACTGCTAGTTAATTAAGCCTAAGACAATGTTTAAAAGGTTTTTAGGACAATTTTCTTCCTTGAAGTCGACTGTGCACACCACACAGAGCCCTACATAACCCACAGACACAGCCTAACGGAGACGCCAGCTTGCCGAGGACCTTGGGAGGGTCCTAGGGGAGAACTATGCATTCCCTCACTGTCATTAACACGCAATTTAAACAACAAAATTGGCAGTAAAAATAATTTCATTTACATTTTTTATGACTTTCAATGTCATTAGTTTTATTTCCTGAATTTTTGGATGTCAAAGAGAGAAGTGCAGATCTCTCAGTTCAATTCTCAGCTGCAATATAGCCATCTACAGTATCATAATAAACAGAAATGTTTTTATTATCTTTTTCCACGAGGGAGGCATTCTAATGGTGAACGCTGGTCTCACTGCTTACTCACACGGGACCTTGGGACCTTTCTGAGTTTTCTCATCTATAAAGTGCAATAAATTCACAAAGCCAATGAAGTAAATAGAGAGAAAAGCCATAGGACATCAGGGTGTTCGGTTAATGCTAGTCTATTTGGATCTGACTATTACTTAAGGGGAGGAGAAAACCCATTTTTCTTCCCATGTCGTATGATGTGATCAATGCAATTGTATGAGCAACACTTAAAAGATGTTGGCACATTTTCTCTGCAAAGGGCCAAATATTTCCAGCTTTGTGGGTCATATGGTCTCTGTGGCAACCATTCAACTCTGCCATTGTAGCAGAAAGCAGCCACAGACAATATGTAAATGAATGAGTATGGCTGTGTTCCAATAAAACTTTATTTACAAAAACAAGAAGTGGGCCAACTCCTGATTTAAAGACACACCAAACGGATTCTACCAGATCAAAAGTACTATGGCTGAGCTAGGAAGGCATCTCACTCTTGCACTTTGTAATCTAGTTTCAGTACTTTCAGAACCCCCTGCCCACCTTGTTTAATGGTTTAGGCCAGCCGTGGGCAAACTACGGCCCGAGGGCCGGATCCGGCCCGTTTGAAATGAATAAAACTAAAAAAAAAAAAAGACCGTACCCTTTTATGTAATGATGTTTACTTTGAATTTATATTAGTTCACACAAACACTCCATCCATGCTTTTGTTCCGGCCCTCCGGTCCAGTTTAAGAACCCATTGTGGCCCTCGAGTCAAAAAGTTTGCCCACCCCTGGTTTAGGCCCATTTCTGTGTAGCCTCTTGTCAATGTCATGTTAACAGTGGCACAGGTGGGATGACCACTAACTTCTGCTCTTGTCAGAGAGTGTGGGAGCCATAGGACACCCATGGTTACTTATTCATGCTAGCTCTAACCCAATCTCTCCTGTCTTATTCTGTACATCTCTTTTTTGTCAGGAAGAACATCTTGGGCCAGGTATACAATAAACAAGGATTATCATATTCAGCAGGCATCTCTAATGTTCAAATGAACAATATTAAGCATTCTTACGCCTTTTATACAGAGCCAGACTGAGGTTTCTTTGGAAGTCAAACAGGGAAGTGGTAACACCTGTTCTTAACTGTTGTCTTTTTTTAAGCTGAAAATTTCTTGCTTGTGGTGCAAAACATTGGAAGGTCAGCTGAGTACCTTTCCAGCTGTGCAAGGAGACTCAGCTCTCCTTTTTGAGGATGATTTTGGCTTTACCTACAGGTGCCCTTCCCTACAGTGAGATAACCGTGTGCTGCCAGGTAGGATGGCTCTCCATTTAAATGAGAACAGAAAAACACATTGGACCTCTCAAACACAGCACACATGTACCTGTCTTTTCTCAATGATACTATTTTGAGTATACAATGAACATGAGGGCTTTGGGAGTTACTGCACAATTCCGCCTCGGATTAACTACGATGTAAGAGTTCAGAGAGAGGAGCAGTGGCAACTTTTGGGGACCTACTCATTCATTTCTGATACCTACAGGCCAGTGGTCTCCAAAGTAGGGGGCACAAGGAAACCCCCTATTGGTAAGAAGAAAATCTGTCATGTCTTTTATATTCCTTTCATTCTAAACAAATAGATTGTTTTACTAATAGTTAATGCATGGATTGGTAGTAGCAGATGTGTGTATTATTATAAAAATATGTGTAAAATATATTAACACTGGGTCTGTGGTTTGGAGGCCACTGTACATTTGGGATGTTGGCTCCACAGGTTGGACGGGCCTGGGAATCTGTATCTCGAAAAACAGAGGGAGGAAGTCTCCATTTAAAACACCCACTGCAGCTGGGGTAGCTGATAAGTGAGAGGTTCCTGCAGAGCCTTGGTTCCTCAAAGGGGTGTCATCAAGAATGAGGCTTTATGTTGTATAATTAGGTTATAGACAGTGATGAGTGAATGGCCACTCATGATCTTCTCTTTATGTACACACATGATTGTGCACACACAACACATGAAACATATGTGCACACAACACATGTGCACAAGCACACAGACACTTGGACACGTGTGCACGCAGCATTTTTATTTCTCTATCCAGACTCTGCTGTATGTGAATCCCAACGTCTCCTGGAACCCAGTCCTGGGCTTGCAGTCTGACTAGAGCTCATGTCAGAAGCTCCTGAAAAACAGATTCCAGATGTTTACTGCAAGAACTGGTTAGAGCAGGACACTGTAAATAACCCTAATGCGTCTGTGCCATAGTCATGTGACAGGATACTCTCTAGCAGTTAAAATGAATGAACTAGTGCAGGGTGAACTATGGCTGGTGGGCCATGGTGTGCTTGTGTGGCTCTCAAGCCAAGAATGTTTTTCTCACTTTTAAAGAGTGGTAAAGAACAAAAGAACGAAGCCAAAAGAACCCACACCCACAATAAAAAAGAGTATGTGATGAAGACCTGATATGGCCCACAGAACCCAAAATATTTGCTGCCTGGCCCTTTATAGAAAATGTTTGCTGACCTTGAACTAGAACAACATAGATGAATCTTGGAAATGTAATGGGAAGAGGAAGAAAAGCAAGATGCAGAACATCATGCTCAATATACTACAAATTACATAAAGTTTTCCAAATGGCACAAAATAGAACTATACATGGTGTGTGTGTGTGTGTGTGTGTGTGTGTGTGTGTGTGTGTAGTAAAAGTATAAAACATGTCAGGACACATTCTAACTCATAAAAGCGACCGTCTCTTGGGAGAGAGAATAATAAATAAAACTGGAGAGAGGCACACCTTTACCTGCAACATTTCGTTTCTTGAAGAAATGTCTCAACTATCCGATGAGACACTTCTCATTATAAAGTCTTCTCCTCCTTAGCTCTCATTATAAAGTCTTTCCCGCCTTAGCTCTACCCATAGGACGCTGGCCCAGCACAGAGCTTTATACACAGTAACTTCTGCCACTGTCACCAGGATACAGTAACTTCTATTATTTTTTTTCTAATCATCAATTTCTCAACTTCCAAATTTACAATTACACAACTTCCAAATTTACAATTACATCAATAACCTTGTCAAAATGTAAACATATGTAAATAATTGCTAAAATTAAAAGTGGACTAGTATCCCATAAGTAGGAAATGTCTGATACACATATCTATTCGTTTTATGCTCACATCTATATTACTAGGTATAATAATTTATTTGTTTAAAATAATGCTCCATTACATTATAGTCATTACTACCAGGCAGTGAAAACAATGTGTGAATTATGCATTTATCTCTTTTCCTACGGCCCCACTGCCACCCATGAATTCTCATGCTCGTTCTTAAAAAGGTGTAGTATCTACTTCAACCTTGAGAAAGACTATTCAGCACAATGCAGAGAGAAATAGCGCCCTGGCAGACCAGTTAACTAATCCAGGCACATTGGCATTAGCTCAAGTTCAGGGGCATCTACAGGCAGTATCACCACCTGGCCTGGAGCATAGCAAGGGGGATGGTAAGATGCCTTTCAACATTACTTGGAGCACTTTTACATGGAACACCCTCTATTATACAGACATAAACTAAAACAAATGTTTCCTCTGGGATAATTTTTTTTGAAGATACGTGGGAAAAAGGCTTTGATTACGTTTTCGTAATTATGGATGCACTGGAGTTAGGCCAACTTACAAGCTAAACTGAAGAGGGAGATGAGCAGGACTGAGGTCAGGCTGAAGTGCAGGGCCCCCGCGGCGTTGCAGTCCACTTTGGAATTCTTGCAGGAACACACTTGTACCCTGAGGTCTGTGACGTTCGTCATGGGCGGTTTCCCTGAATCTGTCACCATGATGGGCAGCTGGTAGTTGGCTTTGTTCAGGTTTTGAAGAAGGCTTACCAGGGCATGCGTGTCTGTGAAGACAAGGGGCCTTCATGAGAGAGGGTCAGACCTTTCCAAGAAAAGAGTGAGAACATGCAAAACAGGCATTGCATTTTGTTTATCACCATGCGGGTGTTTACATTTAAATTCATTAACATCGGATACTCATATCAATTCAGTTCAATTGCACCAGCCACATTTCAGGTGCCTGGCAACCACACGTGGCTGGTGGCTACCACACTGGCAGCCCGGGAAGACGTTTCCATCCTCGAGGAGGTCTATGTTTCAGTGTTATTATTATCAATTTTATGGAGATCCACTTTTGTGAAACGACTGAGTAGCAAGAACCCCTCCCTGCAAATTTATTATACCAAAAAGCAATGTTCACAAAGAGCACATTCGATATCTAGAAAAAATAATGTAAAAATCTATTCGCATATGATCATATTGTACATTTTAAAAAAATATATTTTTATTGATTTCAGAGAGGAAGGAAGAGGGAGAGAGAGATAGAAACATCCATGATGATCGAGAATCATGGATCGGCTGCCTCCTGCAAGTCCCCCACTGGGGATCGAGCCCACAACCCAGGCACGTGCCCTCGACCGGAATCAAACCTGGGACCCTTCAGTCCGCAGGCTGACGCTCCATCCACTGAGCCAAACCGGCTTGGGCCATATTGTACATTTTAAATATATACAACTAGAGGTCCGGTGCACGGATTCGTGCATTGGTGTGGTCCCTCGGCCTGGCCTGTGGGGATTGGGCTGAAACTGGCTCTCCGACATTCTCTGAGGGGTCCCAGATTGTGAGAGGGCAGTTCTAGGGTGACGACCCCTGGAATCGGGCTCCCTCCTCTCTGGTTCCGGGTGTGCCATCTGAGAAACAATGCTGCCAAGTGACCACAGCTTGGCAGCTCCTGCATTGAGCGTCTGCCCCTGGTGGTCAGTGTGCATCATAGCTACTGGCCGGTCGGCTGGTCACTTAGGCTTTTATATAGAGATTTTTATTTGTCAATTATACTTTAAAAAAACTGGAAGAAAAGAAAAAAAATTACCAGTTCAGAGATTTTTGTATAGGAATACAAATTCAAATAATCAAAATAAATTCTTGGACCCCCCAAAAGTCCTCTCACTCTCTATGTGGGCTTGAGCTTGTGTGTTGCCTGGGGGATGGATTCTGTTGTCTCTCTCAGCCCAGAGCCCACAGCTCTGGATCTGAATGGGGATCCACAGCACAGCCCACACGTGGAGATGGGGTCTGTAAGCCCACGGTTGGTGGGAATATCTGCCCTTATCCAGGCCTCTGGGCAGCCCTCAGGAGTGGCCACCCTACCTGGCTACTATTTTAGCTTCAGGCTATTCCCTTTCAGATGACTAAGGATTTTTTATTTGTTTGTTTTAAACTACCCCTTTCTGGGCATAGACAATGCTAAGTGTTTGGGGGGGAAAATTGGGGACAAGAAAAAGAATTTAGAAGGCATTGTATCTATTACATAAAACCAGGAGGGAAAGCAGATGAAGTATTATCCTAACCAGAAGGTTAGGTGGCAGCGCCGATTAACCAAGGTAGAAAATTACCCCAGTGAAATGGCAGATTAACTCATGGGACATTCTCCCATCTCCCCCAAGCAGAGGAGAAACTCCTCTTGAATGAGAAAGTTCCAGTTGGAAAGATCTGGTGATGATTGTTCAAATCCGCTGCAGCTGCAAACACTAGCAAACAAAAGAGGAACCCCTCAAACAAGAGAAGGACTGTTTTAATTAAAAATAATCAGTGTAACAAAATTCATCCTTTAAAAAGCAATAAAATAGACAAACAGGCAACTATAATCAATAACAGGAGAAAGGCAGTAATAAAATGAGATGTGAGATAAGGCCATCACAATACTTATGAGATTTTTAATAGAAAATTTTATGCACAAGTGTACAATACATGTTCAAAACTTAATGAAATGGTAATTCCCCATCTCTCTCAAAAATTCCACCACTAATGTAAGAAGAGGGAGCCCTGACTGGGCCAATGGCAGAAGCCGTTCACTACTGATGGCAGAGTGTATGTCTATGGCAGTGGTTCTCAACCTTCCTAATGCCGCGACCCTTTAATACAGTTCCTCATGTTGTGGTGACCCCCAATTTCATTGTTACAAATTGAAAATAATTAAAGCATAGTGATTAATCACAAAAACAATATGTAATTATATGTGTGTTTTCCGATGGTCTTAGGCGACCCCTGTGAAAGGGTTGTTCAACCCCCAAAGGGGTCGTGACCCACAGGTTGAGAACCGCTGGTCTAAGGTGTGAGTTCTGGTTTTTGGCTTTATTTCCAGGCAAGGTGAACTTAGCGAGGAGGGAAGTGGGTGAGGTATTGTGGATAGAGGGGTACTTTATCACTCACTACATTGGGGTTTCAGTCTTAATAAGGCAGGTGATACATGCTGGGCCAGGTTTTGAATTCCACATGCCCACATGGAAAGACTGGCAGGAAGGGACACTGCTTGCGTGTTTCATAAATGAGGAACAGAATAGATGAAAGATATCAAAGTTGAAAGTAAAGGCCAAGGTCATTATAAAGCCTAAGTCAGTTTTGAGGAGGCCTGCAGCTTAAAATGGAAGCTGGGGACCCAAACTGGTGGTCCTCTTCTCCTTAGTCTTTCATAAAAGCAGGTTCACCAGGAAACAGCTCTCCAGGGTGCTGGCGAAAGTTAATGTAAGCACAGTTATTCGAGAGAGGAGAGACAGCTGAGCCAAGACATGCTTAGGGAGAAGCAGAGACCCCGGCTCTGGAAGGCTGGAGACTGGGTGTGTGTACAGTATAGGGCTGTGCAGTATAGGATGTAAAGCACAGAGTGTACAGTACAAGGTGTACAGTATATGCTATACAGTATAGAGTGGACAGTGTAGGGCCACGGTCGGCAAACTGCGGCTCGAGAGCCACATGCGGCTCTTTGGCCCCTTGAGTGTGGCTCTTCCTAAGCCTTAGGAGTACCCTAATTAAGTAAATAACAATGTACCTACCTATATAGTTTAAGTTTAAAAAATTTGGCTCTCAAAAGAAATTTCAATCGTTGTACTGTTGATATTTGGCTCTGTTGACTAATGAGTTTGCCAACCACTGGTGTAGGGTATGCAGTATAGTGTATAGTACAGAGTGTACAATACAGGGTGGCTAGCACACAGTGTACAGTAAGGTGTATAGTATAGGGTGTGCTGTATAGAGTGTACAGTGTAGGGTGTAGAATACACAGCAAATACTATACACACCATAGAGTGTACAGTCCGTACAGGGCAGAGATTATGCTGTGTCCAGTATAGAAAAGATAAGAGAGGAAGCAATGGAGAAGACTTCCATGTTTGCATTATAAGGAACTGATATTTAATATATTTACATATTGTGTTCATTTTCTGGTGGGAAAATTGTCAATATTTATAGTGCATAAATAACTTGAAATAAACCATTTGAGAACACACAAGAGAGTAGGAGAGGGGGAACAGTTTGGGGAAGGAAACCAAGCCAGAGCCACTAGGCTAAAGCCACAAGGATACGTGTGGGACGTCTGGCTGACTTACTGTTGATCTTGGAGACCTTCCAGACTTTATCAGGAACAGCTTGCTTATAGATTTCAAATTTGAAAGGATCTGTATTTGGGTGCAGATCCTTGTCCGATGCTCCCAAGATGACTACGCTGAGGTTTTTGGCATCATCGCAGACTTCGGCCGCTGTCGGGTAGATGAAGGGAGCGTTGTCGTTCACGTCCTCCAGGGTGATCAGCAAAGTCCCAGTGCCGGTGGCAGGCGGGTCGCCTAGGGAAGAGGGGCGATGTGAGTGCACACCTGCCAACACGAAGAGGAGCGCTGCAGAGCCCTTCCCCACCGCCAGACACCTTGATGATTAAAGGGGTTTACACATGATAAAGTAATAGCTTACACATGTGTATAAAGCTTAGTGGTTTCCAAGCCTGTCATCATATGTACAACTCTTGATTTAAGTTTTTCAGGCTTCACCTTTAGAACGCTGAGCTTCTAACATACAAGTCGTTCTAACACACTGAAAGTCACTCTGATGATAGAGATAACAGAGGGATTTTGCCTTGCTCCAAATTCAACCTTTTGCCTGGCCGGTGTGGCTCAGTGGTTGAACGTCGGCCCATGAACCAGGAAGTCACAGTTCAATTCCTAGTCAGGGCACATGCCTGGGTTGCAGGCTCGATCCCCAGTGTGGGGTGTACAGGAGGCAGCTGATCAATGATTCTCTCCATCCTTGATGTTTCTACCTCTCTCTCCCTCTCCCTTCCTCTCTGAAGTCAATAAAAATATATTTTAAAAAATTCAAACTTTTATCTAAATACCCAAGTGTTCCTGAATTTTGGTGGCACAGGAAGGTCGAGATTCCAGGAGAGAAGGCCATGTTTTATGGGGAATAGCTCTACACTGAGTGGGTAGTTGGTTGAAGAGGGAGCCCTTTCAGGGTTTTCTTTTGTAAGTAAAAAACGGTCTGAAAGAAAAACAAAAGGGGCTGGCCTGGCTGATGGTGCTACAGGGACTGGCTGGGCTGGCCTGGCTGATGGTGCTACAGGGACTGGCCGGGGTGATGGTGCCATGGGGGCTGGTCAGGGTGATGGTGCCACAGGGACTGGCTGGGCTGGTCAGGGTGATGGCGCCATGGGGGCTGGCTGGGCTGGCCAGGCAGGACAGGACAGTCTGAGAAGGTGGGTTAGTTATGAGAAACAAAACCACAGGCTGGCTATAGCATAATCTTTGGGTCTTATACATGAAGCTTCATTTTTAAAAATTTCAGCTACTATATGATTTTCACTTTAGGAAACATTATTTTAAGAAGCCCTTATAGCCCAAGCCGGTTTGGCTCAGTGGGTAGAGTGGCGACCTGTGAACTGAAGGGTCCTGGGTTCGATTCTGGTCAAGGGCATATGCCCAGATTGCGGGCTCAATCCGCAGTACGGGGCGTGCAGGAGGCAGCCAATCAATGATTCTCTCTCATCATTGATGTTTCTCTCTCTCCCTCCCCCTTCCTCTCTGAAATCAATAAAAATATATTTTAAAAAAAGGAAAAGAAGCCCTTATAAACTCACCTAAAGAAAAGGCTGTTTAATCTTGGTGTGACTCAGCATGATTTCATTTACCTTTCTTTAAATTCATTTTTAATCATCTATGAATTAGAGACTGGCTCTTGGGACAAAGCATCCATTAATAGTCCACATTTTCTGTGAGGAAAGTTAGAGCCAAATTTGCTCTAACTTTAGTTAGTAAGTGTATGGATTTGCCTTATTCCAGAAGGATTTGCTGTGCGTCTGAAATGACTGTGCTCTAATTTTATGCACCAGTACTGACCTAATGTCTGGCCCCATTCTATTTTTCCTATCCTCATTTATACTGAACCAGATCTACAAGCTTAATTTTATTTTCTCTCCTCCCGTGTTTTTCTTTTTTCTTGAAGGGCACATTCGGTTTTGAGTCAAGTTCTGGGTCACATGGGGTGGAAGGTAGTGAATATCTGAGCTCAGAGCATGGGTGTCCAGCGCAAGGCCAGGCCGGGTCTGATAGGTTCTGTTGGTAAAGAAACAATGAGTCCTTTTCAGATTCAGGCAGCTTATGACTTACAGGGACAGTCAAAGGATGAGTAGGCAAAGACGGCCCCTGGGCAGGTGACACCCAAACCCCAGGGGGCAGCTGGCTACATCACAGATGAAGGGAGACCCTGGTGCTGAGGAGCCGATTGCAAGCTGCCTCTCAGTGGTTTTACTGCCTGCAGCTGCACTCCAAGAGGGGTGGGCAGGAAGCCTCGCCCCTCATCAGAACCCGGAAGACGATGAGAAACTGTCTTGTGACAGCCTCCCAGGGGACTTCGGGAGGCAAGTGAGAAGTAGACCAGAGCAGCTCCTCACAGGCCTCCCGTGCCCACAGTTCCGGGACGATCACGAGGCAATCTGCTGACGCTCAAATTGGCTGCGGCTCAACCTTCGCTCCTGGCCTGTGTGGATACAGGCAAGGTCGTCAGACATCATGGCTGTCCCCTGCTGTCCGCGAGCATGGCAAGGGGATGAGGCTGGAGATGGCCCGTAGGGCAGGGGGCCTTGACTGTCATGACAATTCCACTGGAGGGTCTTCAGAAAGGCAGCGAAACAACCTGACTGACGTATTTTTAGAAACGCAGTGGTACTGACAGGAGATATTGGACACTGGAGCCCAGCAATGGATTGCGTCATGACGTGGGTGGTTTGAGCAGGAAAGAAATGTCTCTTCTTGGTGGCCGGGCTCTCAGGTGAGGCGCCAGAAGAAGCACAGAAGGTAGTAGGGGGGGGGTGAGTGAAAGACAGTTCAGATGGTGTGAATAAACCCCGTATTCAATGCAACCATGTACAGGTGCACAGAGCTTAATGCCAGGGCTGCGTTGGCAATGGGGGCATTGTCAACACAGATACTTTTGAAACCTTTCTAGCAAATTAGGTGAAAGTGCAGAATGAGGGAGGGGTGTAGATGAAACGCCTCAAGTTCAAAGAGCAGATGACAGTTTGCAGGAGACGGGGGAGATGAACTGGAAGATGAGGCAATGGGTTATGATGCCGAGAAGGATAAGGAGTAAAAAGAAGCAATGGGATCTTGCAAGGAGCACGTTGCTGGTGACTTTTGGGGAGAGGTTTCCATTAGTGGGGAAGAAACCAGCTCGAAGGAAGCTCACTGGGAAGCAGCGAGAACAGATACTGTCTAGTGGGGCTGGTGGAACCTTACATATATCAACACCCGAAGACAGTTCCAGAGCAAACATGCAAGTAAGTGTCTCGAAGATAGGAACACAAATGTAATTAATTATCAGAAGGATGGCTATTTCTAATGGCAGCATATCATCAACTTTTGTTAGAGCAAGAACTCAAAGGAAATGCATCATTACTTTGAACTTGGTTACCCAGTGTCAGCTTTAGTCATTTGGTTAAATTTCTTTATTGAAAAATTATTTTTTTTCTTTTTATTGAACTAATTGAATATCTCAGAGGAATCCACTATATTTTTCTCCACTCTGAATATATTATGAAGTCACTTGGTAGAATGGATGAGAAGGCATTATGAGTATCTGAAATATGGCCATGAGAATGGGCCTTTTGTGAACTTAATTATACTACTGTTTTCAATTCCACATGCATACTCCCGGGCCAGGCTGATGATGTCTTTTTCTGAAGTCAAATAAAATGAACTTGCTTTTTTCATTGATAAGGTAACGAGAGGATTCCCAAAATCCCCAGGGAAAGAGCCTCTCCCAGCTTATATGCACAGGAGGGAGGAAAACCACCACCCAAAATTCAAATGTGATTAAAAACATAATGATTCTTCACCCTTATCAGATAACATTGGCAAATATGTTCTCCCATGCAGTGGGCTTTCTTGTTGTTTTGTTGATGGTTTCTTTTGCTGTGCAGAAGCTTTTTATTTGATGTAGTCCCATTTGTTTATTTTCTCTTTAGTTTTCATTTTTAGCTGTATCGGTGAAGATATTGCTTCAGCATATGTCTGAGATTTTGCTGCCTGTGGATTCCTCTAAGATTTTTATGGTTTCCCGTCTTACATTTAAGTCCTTTATCTATTTTGAGTTTATTTTTGTGTATGGTGTAAGTTAGTGTTCTAGTTTCATTTTTTTTGCATGTATCTGTTCAATTTCCCAGCACCATTTATTGAAGAGACTGTCTTGACTCCATTGTATGCTCTTGCCTCCTTGTCAAATATTAATTGAGCAAATTGTTTGGGTTGATTTCTGGGTTCTCTATTATATTCCATTGGTCTATAAGTCTGTTCTTGTGCCAGTACCAAACATTTACAGGGAATTCATACAACTTAACGAAAGGAAGATAAAGAATCCAATAAAAATATGGGCAACAGACCTAAATAGATACTTTCGAAAGAAAGCCAAGAGACATATGAAAACATGCTCAAGGTCACTAATCATATGAGAGATACAAATCAAAAAGACAATGAGGTACAATCTTACACCTGTCAGAATAGCTATCATCAACAAATCAACAAATGACAAGTGCTTGCCAGGATGCAGAGAAAAAGGAACACTCGTGCACTGCTGGTGGGAATGCAGACTGGTGCAGCTACTGTGGAGAACAGTATGGTGTTTCCTCAAAAAATGGAACTCCCATTTGACCCTGTGATCCCACTTCTAGGAATATATCCCAAGAAACCAGAAACACCAATCAGAGACGATATATGCACTCCTATGTTCATAGCAGCACAATTTACCATAGCTAAGATTTGGAAACAGCCTAAGTGCCCATCAGCAGATGAGTGGATTAAAAACCTTTGGCACATCTACACAATGGAATACTACGGGGTATAAAAAGGAAGGAACTCCTACCATTTGCAACAGCATGGATGGACCTGGAGAGCATTATGCTAAATGAAATAAGCCAGTCAGAGAAAGATAAACATCACATGATCTCATTCATTTGTGGAATAACATAAACTGATGAACAAAAACAGATCCAGAGACAGAGAAGCATCAATCAGACTGTCAAACCTTAGAGGGAAAGGCAGGGGAGGGTTGGGGGAGGGGGGAGATCAATCAAAGGACTTGTATGCATGCATATAAGCATAGCCAATGGACACAGACACTAGGGGCGTGAGGGCACGAGTGGGGGGTGGGATCGTGGGGCATGGGGGGATAAGGACATATTTAATGTCTTAATCAATCAATACAAAACCCCACAAAAAACCCCCCATAATGATTCTTTACAAGCCATTGTGCTCCAATAGCTCCGGGGCCCCAGGAACTAAATACTGGAGCTTCTAGG